TCTAATTGAATAAAATACTGATTTATCATGAAGAAAAAAGTACGAGTTAGTTACCTAATTATTTTCTCCGAATATTCCCCTTCAATCGATGCTCATCCTTAATTACGTCGTCCTTAAGTCGCGATGCTCTAAGGGAATGTGTTTGCATTATTTACACTAAAATTTGCTCGTTCAATAATAATTAGATAATAATACGCTATCTAAATTATCAAGCCACACAATAAAAATGTGGAAGAGAAAGAAAAAGCTAGAATTTAGTTGCCGTATTTTGAGATTCGCCATTACAATAAATATAAATTAAAGTCGAAACATGAAACGCGATGGAAATTCATCGATCAGAAGTAATTAATCAATCATTCAGAGCAATTCAAATTCACTTACAGAGTAGGAGAAAAAAAAAATGGAGAAAAAATTAATTTGAATATGTACAGTTGTCACATCCTCTCATAATTACATAATCACCTACATAATCCTATGTAAAATATCTCAACGAATAAACAAAATCACAAAAATTCAGACGAACAGCAATTTCTTCGAAATCCTAATTCCCTAGATATATATCCCCAAGACTTCAATGAAAATTCAAATCCTCAACCAGTTATGACCAAAATTTTAAATTTTTCCTCAAACTCCCGAGGAATAAAATGATATTGTGAGTAAAAAAAAATCCCCAGCAATAGTTTCACACAATATGGGTATTCGCCTGTAATAAACTATTGCCATTTCTCCCCTCGACATCAGTGGATTCGATCTGTTCCTTGAGAAGTTCCAGCTCCCGAATTCCGGAGACAGTCACCTCGTATTTATGAGCAGCGAGACTCCGATAGAAATGAATGGCAAATGCCAGAAAAATAATGAGTACTGGAATGAGAACGATGCAGGCAGACCAGGCAGCTGTCTGCGAGAAGTCGTAAAATTTGACCCAACACAGAATAGCAATCTCCAGGAGGAAGAGAATGAGTCCCAATAATGTGGAAAATGCCCAGGCAATTTCGATGTACCAGTGGAGACGTTCGTGGGGTGATTCGTGGACGAGGCTGATGCTGTGGAGATTGCACACTGCCTCGATGTTTGGGAGGATGCATGTGGAGATCATGAGGGCCAACATGTGAACAGCAACTAGGAGTGTTGTGCAAACAGCAAAAGTTATTAGCATTGAGTTGGGAACATTTGACTCTGGATTCAGCTGAACCTCTACCATCGCAACCTGAAAAATTTTATTAATGCGTTAAAAAAAATTAAATTCTATTGGCCATTCTTATAAATTTTTCAATATTCGCACATTTGTGCAATAAATCAATAATAATTATTTATGATTGATTGATATAATGAGGTAAAAGTTAAAATTACCATGGCAAATCCTGACAAAAGTGCTGAAGTCTTGCTGGATGCCTTGAGCTTCGCTCTGCTGAGCTGGAGTTTTCTCCAGGAAAGATAACTCGGCGTATGAAGGCCATCACCAGCCTGCGACATCTTCGCCTTTTGTTATAAAACAATAGCCGATTATTGTGAAACTCGAGTGTAAAAATTCAATGAATAAAAAAATGTAACTGAAGATTTTTGCCAAAAAAATTTAGCTTGCAATGTTAGTTACAAAGGTTCGGCTGGCGTTGACATAAAAAAACGTTCAGGAACCACAAAAATATATTGATCGAATATACAAACTATGAGGGAAATCTTCTGGAACGAATCCGAGGCCTCAGGATATTTCTTTTATTTTCTCGAATCAACGTACCACGAAAATTCAACGATCCCAGCAGGTGCTACTCGACGTGATTCCCTCGATAGGCAAAAAAAACCAATGGGTGCTGAACGAAAAAAAGAATATTTTCTTTTAATAATGCCAATGTGATAAATTATTGAGAGGAGTCGCTCGATAATATCTGTGCTGAGAAATGAGTGAATGTCTTCGTGCTGATTTAAAGTTTTTCGATCCAGTATTGATTTACATTACAATCGATTGAAATCGATTAAAATCGATTGGAATCGATGGAAATCGATTAAAATCGATTGGAATCGATGGAAATCGATTAAAATCGATTGGAATCGATGAAAATCGATTGAAATCGATTGTTCATTTTAAAAATCCTGTCATTAAAATTTTTTTTCATTTGGGAATATCTTCTTATCGTAGCCCAATAATGATTTGTTTAAATATTGTGATATTATTAATAATTATGAGTAATTGGGGATGTACCTCAATTATTGTTCAATGGATAAAATATATTATTGATATTTGTAATTTTGGGGGATCGAAAAACGTCAGTGCTAATTTCTACAAATACGATTGGAAAAGCGAGTGAAGACACCAGCCGGACTTTTTTCAAAAAGTTTTAACGTGCCACTTGATTTAAAAAAAAACTTACGACAAATGCAGAAGTCCATTGCGAGCATTAAATTCATTAAAAAATGTTTATCACACCGAAATTTAAATGAGCATAAATTTTCGAGCATTAAAATCACTTAAAAAGCCGAATAAATAAATAAATAAGTTGATCCTCAATTTTTTCTTCATTTTCAACAGAAAAATATTCAATGCAACAAACAAATGGTTATTTATAATGGTTATTTATGATAAAGGGGTGTGGGTGGAGGGAAATGAAATGATAATTGTTATTGTTTTTTTAGAAATAATATGGAAATGGTGGTGTGGGTTTTTACTGACCTGACAATTGTGAAAGCGATTATGGAAACAATGTCCTTCGGTTGTATGCAAATGCGAATGATTTGGTAATTGCTGTGGATTTGAATTTATTTGATTTCCAATCTCAGCACCAAAGACTGAGTTGCGTCCGGTGCTCGTTGACCATACAGACATTTAGGCACTATTTATTTGTCCTCCTAAATTCCACTGAATTATACTGAAACATAACATAAACAATAACCGGTTTTTAGGAATTTATTAATATCTATGTTTCACGGAATGCTGGAAATCGTAAACTGACAATTAATAAGAAAATTGAAATTAAAAATTTTAACGCAATACAATTTACAGATTTAATTGTCATTAAATTAATCAATTGTTATTATTATTGTTGTTCTTATATATCATTTTATTTCGCTGAAATTTGAATCAATAATTTAATGTTTGTCAATTGTTATTCAATTTATTGACCTAAAATTATTATTTTTTTAATGAACCTTTAATTATGAAAAAAAAATGGAACGAACATATTTATTTATTAATAAATTTTCATAATAATCGGTTTTTTATTAACATTAATTTGTTTGCAATTGAGATTTTAATCTTCAAATCTCCGATTTCGAGGAATTCCCGAGTTATTAATTAACCGATGGAAAACCGTAGCAACAATTGAGCAATAAAAATGAATGATGATTATACAATTATCACCGACAACTCCTGTTGTTGAAGTTACAAGACTTCCGGTTTGCCTCGAGCTTCTCTGTTAAATAAATCATGTCCAACACTCGTAAGTTAATTAGTCTTTAAAAAAAAAAGTGAAAGGACGTCTTAAATAAATTAATCGATCCAATGAATAAACAACAATTGCACTCACCCACAAATTTCCGATTTAATTTATCATTCTTCCCCATAAAAATTAGCAATAAACATTCAATTAACCATAATCCCCAAAGCAATCCGAATTCGCAAAAAAACCAAATAATTTTCTATACCCATAATAAAAGAACCAATAACAATAATTAATTATCAACAATATATACCCACTAAATAATTTTTTCCAAAGCCCCTCTAATCTACAAAAACGTCATAATAATTAAACCAACAATTGACTTGACATTTTCATTGAAAAAAAGAATATATTTCTTCTCCCATAAAATACAAGTCTCTTTATTTCCCCCTCCCCTAGTTCTATTAATACCCCCCAGCGATTGCCAGAAATTACCTCAACATTAAATCGCAAAAAAAAA